AGTTGAATTTGCAGGTGAAACAAAATTTGATTGCACAGACTATCATTGATTGACAATGCTGTCGAGATCTATCGGTTTCAAAGCCGTCAGAACGGTGTTTCTTGGACCGGTGTTTCAAATCCAGAGTTCTTGAAGGTCAAAAAGATTTACTTTAATGGCAGTGACACATGTGCTTCAGTTGAAGAGCATCATTGCATTCAACATGAACTACAATAGTTTGAAAACAACAACAATTTATCCTATGTAAGTCATCTTGAATCTTTAATTTGGGATTTTTAAAAAAAGTTAATTTCATGGTAACATAATATTGGTTTGCAGAAAGAGGAGGGATTGAAAAATCAGAGAAAAAGGATGAATTGAAATTAAAGGTTTAGAATTTAGGTGAAGATAAAAATGAGTTTTCATTTATTTGGATTTTGAGTAAAATTGGAATTGAAAAAGAAATTCCGGAAAATTTATATTTTCTATTTGCACTCAAAGGAAACCAATAAATTTCGACATCGTAAGTTACTCCTCACTAAACAGTTTTTGATATTGTCGGTTATTCATTTATTTACTTATTTCGACGTTTTAATTTCATTCTTCTGAGCGCAACCTAATAATGTCTTTTACATTTTAGAATCAGGGCATTCATGAACTAAGGTTTGATAGTGCGTGAGACACTTTTATAAAATAAGGATACACAATATGACTATTTATATATAATTTTAATTGAGTTTAGACTTACACAACTTGAATTATATTTAAATATTAAATCTAATCTAATATTTCAACACTCCCTTAATCCAAGTTGTCGAACATACTTAAAAATAGTCAATCTGAACTATTCTTAATTTCTTTTTTAAATTCAGGAATTTGTCGATCTTTAATCCTTTGGTGAAAATGTCAGCCAACTATGCTTCACTTGAGCAATGTCTAACTTCAAGTTTACCTCGATTTACCTTTTCTCTCAAGAAGTGAAATCTAGCTTCGATATATTTACTTATTCCATGCGGAACTGGATTCTTCGTCAGATTTATGGCTGACTTGTTGTCGATTTGCAATACAAGAGATTTCTTCACTCCAACAACCATTTCTTCAAGTACATATTTGATTCAAATTGCTTGACATGCAACATATGATCCTGCTATATATTCAGCTTCACATAATGATAAAGTCACCACAGGTTACTTCTTCGAACACCATGAAATTGGAACACCAAATACTTGAAAGAAATATCAAATTGTTCTTCTTTGATCTTCCTTATCTCCATACTAATCAGCATCTTAAAAATAATTAAATGTTACTTATTTGCTTTCAAAGTCTTGTCGAAATAGTATTCCACTGTTTATTGATCCTCTTAAGTATCTTAGGATTCTTCTTGCAACTTTCATGTGTGACACCATTGGTTCACTCATATATCTACTCACTAATCCGACTGTGAAACCTATATCTGGTCGACTGTTGCACACATTCGTCAGAGATCCCACGATTTGTTTGAACAAAGTTACACCGACTTTATCTCCCTCTCCATTTTTCTCTAACTTCACATTTGGTTCGACAAGTGAGGATGCAGGATTCAGATCATCCATTATGAATCTCTTGAGTATCTCTTTGACATACTTCCTTTGATGTAGCACCATACCTTGCTTCAACATTTGAAATTCCATACCTAGGAAATAAGACAATATTCCCAGATTCGATATTTCAAATTCCTTCATCATCAGCTATTTGAACTTCGACGAGTTCTCCAGGCTATTTCCAGTTATCAACGTCATCGACATACAAGCAGATGATTGTTATATCTTGTGCTACAACCTGAATATAGACACCATACTCAGACTTGTATTTTACAAATCTCAATTTGACTAAGTATGAGTTGATATTCTTATTCCATTCCCTAGGTACCTGCATGAGGCCATATAGAGCTTTGTGCAACTTATATACTTTACTCGCTTTCTTCTAAATCACAAACTCAGGAGATTGTGTGACATAGACTTCTTCGTCTAAAGGACCATTCAGAAATGTTGATTTCACATCTAAATGAAATGTCGACCAGCCTTGGTGACATGCCAATGCTATCACTAGTCGAACAATCCACAATCTTGCTTCGGGAGTAAATACTTTAGAATAGTCGAGTCTTGCTCTTTGAAGAAAACCTTGAGCTACTAATCTTGCTTTATGTATTGCTATCGACCCATCAACATTGTGTTTCAACTTGAGCACCCACTTTACGTTGATAGTTTTTGTATGTGCTAGAAATTCGACTAACTCTTATGTGTTATTTCTTTTAATTTTCTGTAACTTTTCGACCATAGCTAAATTCCACTGTTGAAACTTTAAAGCTTCGTCATGGTTGATTGGTTTAGCACCTACAAGTAAAGAAAAATGAACTAATTCTCTATCTGGTGTGACTTTATCATCATCCACCACTTCGTAATCATGAAGTCTTGTTGGAAGAAATTTATTTCTTTGAGGTCTTTGGCATGTTTCAGTCACACTCTTTTCGACTTCGATATTGTCAGGAATGTCAGCAACTGCTTCAACTTCGACTGGAAGATTAACAATTTCTTCGACTTTGACTTCATCAGTTTCTTCGTCGAATCCATAGCTCATCAATGACTTGTTAATTGCATAATCAGAATTCCAATCTCAGGAAAAAAATTCATCAATCATAATTTCTTGACATATCACTATTTTCTCATTGATTGGATTAAATAGCCTGTATGCACTAGTCTTATGATATCCTACCAAAATCATAGGTTCACTCTTGTCATTAGGCTTCCTTCTTCTTGCATCAAGAATATAATTGTAACACATAAAGCCAAACACCTTTAGATGAACCACTGATGGTCTTTTTCCACTATACACTTCTTCAGGAACCTTGTTCTTCAATTTATTGGTAGGGCACCTGTTCAGAATATAAACTACAGTCGAAACAACTTCGCCCCATAAAGATTTTAGCAAATTCTTATGTTTTAGCATGCACATCACCATATCTAATATGCTTTTGTTTCTTCTTTATGAAATTTCATTATGTTGAGGCGTATAAGGAGCAATTACCTCATTACCTCATGATCGACACCATGTTCTTCATAGAATTCTTCAAACATCTTGGATATGTATTCACCACCTTCATCTGTTCGCACAACTTTGATCCTCTTCTCACTCTGGTTTTCGACAAGCATCTTGAATCTCTTAAAGGTTTCAAATAATCTGTCATTTCTCTTGATCATATAGATCCATAGCTTTCTACTGAACCCACCGACAAATGAAACAAAATATTTGTTTCCACCAATGGTATGTTCTTCGAATGGACCACATACATATGAGTGTACCACTTCGAGTATGTATGATGATCTCATTGGCATAGTCGAAACAAAAGAGTTTGTGGATTGCTTTCCGACTAAATAACCTTCACAAAGTTTGTTGGGCATCTCAAAACTTGGGATACCAGATACCATATTTTGAGTAATCAGCTGATTGAGTGGTCAAAAGTTCAAATGTCCAAACCTCAAATACCACAACCAACTATCCATTTGGTCGACAACATTTTTTAGACGTTGTACTTCAGTCAAGATGATCATAGTCTTAAACGTCCTGTTCTTAGACATATGAGATTTTAAGACCAAATTGCTCTTGGTGTCGAACAATTTTAAAAATCCATCTTTCATGACAAATGAGAAACCATTTTTGACTAGTTGTACAACACTTAGCAAGTTACACTTCATTCCAGGTACATAGAACACATCTTTGATCATAACTTCCCCTCCATTACTCACTTGAAAAACTATATTACCAGTACCTTCTGCTTGCCACAAACTATTATCAGCATGTTTTACCTTGATCTTCTTTAACTCGTCAAAATCTGCCAACCATTCCTTTCAATCAGTCATGTGATTTGAGCAGCCTAAGTCGAGGAACCAGATCTTAGATTCTACATGGTTATCTGCAACTACAACCATAACCACTATACCACCTTTAGAATCATCTGAATCTTGGCGTGTAAGGTTTTCTCCTTCGTCCTTGCCTGTCGATCTCTTGTCTTTTCTGTATAAAAAATTCTTGGCTACGTGACCCCATTTTTCACAGTTATAGCACTGAACACCTTTTTTCTTCTTTGCCCTTTCAATAGTTTCCTCCTCCTCCTTTCAAGGATTCAGAAGCTTGCTGGATGCGGTAAAGCGACAAGCAAAAAGTAAAGTATTATTTTACCGGGTGATATTTAGGTTATATCGTATCGTTTCCATATAGATTGGTGTATTGAAATTTCGTTCGAAAAATCTCTCGTTAATGAGTTTGGGGTTTGAATGGGTTGAAAGGAAAGGTATCAACAAAAAATAAATGTATAAAAAGGAAAGACAAACTTATTCGGCTCTAATGTACTATACTCATCACAAACTTAAACCTATCGACCCGTTATACTCAACCTACAAAATTCATCAATGTCATCACATGGCAAACACAACACCCATTGTATCACCTCAGCGGCGATCTCTCAGCCAACCTTAACAACACAAAAGTCAAATGTACTTGCTTACATCTAAGATATCTTTGAGAGAAACAAACAGCAGAGGCATTAATCACAAACACCCTAAGTGAATGTCAACTCTAAATCTATCTCTAGAATCCAGAAACTAACAGATAATCATCCTAGATAAGAATCTGAGCAATATATGTCTATAGCAACTCAAATTCCTAGAACAGAGAAAAAATCAAGGATAGCAATCAACAAAGATTTGTAAAGCAAGTTTTATATAACGCAATGGGCGACAAATATACATGAGTTCAAAGTAAAAATAAACATAAAACCCAACAAAAGAGAAATACATAGAGAGGAGAAGAGATAAACCACAAATCTTTCGGTTTGTCAGCGCCAGTCGATGAGAAATCCACCTCCAATTATCCATAAGAAAATCCTTGGTGTTGTTTTCTATAGATAAAAATGACCCGAACTTGTACATTACTTCAACTATTACACCAAGGCTAGACAATCACACACTAAGGAATACTATATTTTCATGATTTCTTCTAGAGTTAAAGGAACAAACTTAAGGAGTACCAAGATCAATAACAAAGTGGTATCATCAAGTCACTTAGGAGACTACATGGCCAGTGATCCCAGGTTCAAATCCTAGGCAGGATCTGTATTACCCGCACTTAGGCATCCCATCCCCTATTAAATTTTAGAAATCTTTCATAACTCAAAAAGGAAAAGCAACAAAATTCGACCATATAAAGAGAAGATATATGGGCACTGAGACAATTCCAATTTACACTTACCATGGAAATGGAATATACTCAATTCCAACCAATAAAATTTTGCTCATATATGTACATTCCTTGCCACAATAAAACCAATATTATAAACCAAGATATTATAGTATGTATTATATTGTATATACAGTATGCATTTCATAACTGTTCAACAGAACTTAATATGAGCTTAGGAGATTTATAAACTTACGTGAGATGTTCCAGCCTACATGCCTTTGGGTTGGTAACCCTCTCTGAGGTCTTAACAGCACATGAGACATAGATCATAAGAGCAACTGGTGTTGGGGCAGCTACGATAAAATCCATGTATGAATGTACTGCAATTATCAATGCCATTTATAACAGAGGCATTCAGTTTAGGACCAAATAGGATATTAAAAGATAAAAGCAATCAGGGTCTCAAGATGACAAAGCCTTGTTGTGAAGTATATATGAGAAAGACCACATTCTTTTTAAATAAGATGGAACAAAATAGTAATAGAAATTATAATGACCGCTTTCTAATTTCTTATGATAGTATGACCCGTAAGCGTACCTATACAAGCGCTCACTTTCATTTAGCTTTGATCTTGTCATGTCAATTTCTTGTTGTTGCTTACCTAACATCATACAATCAAATATAATTAAAAAATAAAACAAAACAAAAATAATTTTCTATGCGCATGTTTGTCATCATGTTACCCCTTATTTTGGTTTGTCTGTAGTCCCGAGCTCTGCTTCTTGTGGACATGCCTCAAAATTGGCAGGGCTTTAAATAGTACATAAAGTTTATAGGCTAGAATAAGTAAATTTTCCTGGTAAGATTTTGAGTACGACAAAGTAGAGCCAGTGTGAATCGTGTAATGTCTAGATAGGGCCAAATATTCATTGAAATAGTGTGGAACAGATAGACCGATGAAGAGAGAAAAACCGACGATGACCATTGATCGGTTGCTATTTAGATGCATAATTATAGAAAGCCAAGTCCAGCAGAAGCTTCTCATCACATAAGAAACACACAAACCATTACAAATTCAAGATTTTAAAACACAAACACATCAATAATTTCAATGCGTACATCTCACAACAACACATATTAACAAAAGAATCAAAACATAAGAAGAATTGGAAGACAAAAGCACATCGTCGTCGCTGAAAAAACCACTTATCCACGGATCTCTGACGAATATGAACTGTTCCGACCACTGCAACGGAAGCCACTGACCACTGTAGCCTCATTGCTAATCTGGTTGAATATTGCTTAGCAGTATAGAGATCAATAACAAAGGTGATAAATCTCCTACAGATGCGGCCAGAAGAAAAGTGATTAAGCATTGGAAGTAGTTAGGGTTTAGAAGGAATGAAAGATGAAAAAACGCATGTATATGGGGCATGGGAAAATGAAACTTCCGTGAATAAAATCGCCGAAATCATCCACCAACTTCCCTATTCTGATTGATTCGTGAAACCATTTCTTAATTTCTTTATTCATAAAATCGACGAAACCGTCCACCAACTTCCCCATACTGATTGATTCGTGAAACCCTTTCTTGAATAAGAGTGATTTTTCACAGAATAATTTGGAAGAAAAAAGAGAGAGATGCATCAGAAAGAGGGAAGAGAAAGATGGAAGATGAAACTGTTGAGAGTAATGGGGGAGGAGTTGGAAGAGTAAAAAGAAGAAACCGCGGTTATCATTGATGATAGAAGAATGGGATGAAAACAGATGAGTGACAAAGAGGGGAACAAATTGGAATATATGAAATTGAAACCCCAAATATGCTATCCACGTGTTGTGATTTTGGAGCAAAAGGATAAAATAGGATTTTTGGATAGATTCAATTTTCTTATATTATAGATACGTGCAAAGATTAGAAAGCATATAATAACAGAAAACACAAAATTGTAAAAATTTTACTCTCTATTTTCAAATAACTCTTATATATATAAAAATTAAAATGAATAATTAATTTATTATAATATTAAAAATAGAAAGAGGGAGTATAAACGATTGAAGATGAGATTTTTAATTCTTTAATTTATTGTGTTGAATTGTAATAATTGAGAAATTAGTTGAGCGGAGAGAATAAATACAGAGAGATTATATACATAGGATTTTCCGACTGATTCTCTATTTTTATCTATTTTTGAATGATTTTGAAATGATCAAATACTCATTTTTAAAGAATGTGATTTGTATTAATGGGATGATTATTTTCTTTCTGAAATATTCTAAAAGAAATTTTGAATAACTGATTACTTTTAAATAAATTATTAAATATCTATAAAATTAAAATTAGTATGAATTATAAATTCAATTTTACAAAATCATATAAAATTGGAATCGAGAGAGTTTTATCATTCCAACATAGGAGTATTTATCTTGTAACCACTATTTAAATATAAATTATCTATTTTGTAACAACTATTAAAAATCATATATGAAATATGTTTGATATATAATATATTATGTAAAAAAAAATCCATATTCTCTTAAATCATTATTATAATTAAATAATTATTTATTATATTCAATTAATATATATATATATATATATATATATATATATATATATATATATATATATATATATATATATATATATATATATATATATATATATATATATATATATATATATATATATATATATATATATATATATATATATATATATATATATATATATATATATATATATATATATATATATATATATATATATATATATATTGTTCTTGAATAATAAGACAATTTACTTTCAAAACAAATATATATTTCAAATAAATTAGATAATTTAATATACCGATCATAATTTTTCAATATTAATACATAAAATAATAAAATTGATTGAACGTAAATACATAAAAATATCCGAGAATTTATAATAAGAGTGAATATATATTTTAAATGTTTTCTCTCTATTTTAAAATAACACATAATATTAAAGAAATAAATTATACTTCATATAATTATGATGTATATGAAAAACACAATTTTCATTTGAATTTATTTTTAATATTAACCTTGATTAAAATTGATTAAATATGTTTTTTTCCATCTTAATGATCATTTTAATTGAATGTTTTTTATTTTTATTTATTGTCCTTCTATTTTTACTAAGAATGGAAAGATACAATTTTGATTAATTTATAGATATGATTTGCTAATTTTCATAAAAATAATAAGTATGTTATAAATTGCAATTAAGAAAAAATTTACATTTTAATGACATTTATGTCATATTTTTATGAATAAAGAAAATAATAGGTTAAAATAAAGAAATAACTATAGTACTATAGTACTATATTTAAAATAAGAAATAACTATAGTACTATATTAAAAAATAACTATAGTACTATATAACTTGATTTTTTGTTTATCACATAAAAAATCAAAATATAATAAAATGTTATTTATTATATTTTTGTAAAAAAGTATTCGTTATTCTTATATTTTTCTTTTTTCTTTTATTTTATTTTTATATAAAAATGATTTTGCATGATTAATATTTATTAATAATAATTAATAGTATGATAAAAATGAAAATAACATATTAAATTTATTAAGGGAGTGAAATTAAACATTACAAAGAAAAAGATACAATAAAATTTATAATTTTAATTTTAATTATAATTGGAAATTCCAATTTAGTATAAATGAATGGTTTATAAATAGAAATATATTATTAAACACATCAAACATTTTTATAAATATTTATTATAAATCAATTAAAAATGAAAATTTGAAAATATGATTGTAGGTTAATTTTTTTTTTGACAATTGAAATGAATTGAAAAATAAGTTAATTGAATACATTTAAAATATTAATTTTACAGGATACATTTAAAATATTAATGAATTAATTTAATTTAATTTTGGTTTTTAAAATTTATTTTTGAATTAGAAAGTAATTTTTCTATCACTTCTATAATAATTAATCCAATCAATTAAGTATAATTTCTCTCTTAGATAAATAAATAATATATATTTAATAAAATAATAGTTATTTTGGAAAGAAGAGAGTATATATTTTTTACTTAGAAAATTTTTAACCCTTAACTTATACAAATTTAAATACATCTAAATACTAGTAAAAAAACTTCAATTAATTACATTTTTAAACACACGTGAATAATATTTTCACCTTTTTAAAATCACAAAATTGCTATGAGGAGTGGCTATATAACGCAACAATAAAATCCTATTTAGCGATTCTCCCACAAGACGCTTCTTACGCTGCCACCCAACCGACCTTCTCTTCCGTCCCTTCCCGCTCTCACCAAAACCTAACACCTCCTCCTTTTCTATCGGTACGCCCTTTCTCTTCTCTCCCTTTTCACCATTACTCCATCACACACCATTTTCGCATTATCTTCCTCATTATCAATACCGTTTTCATATACAATTATTTAATATCTTCCGTTTTTCCGTTCCGGTTATCCCGCTTTACACTTTTCTCATCGCGCAATCTTGTTTTCGCTTTTTCTTATAAATCTCTTCATTTCTTTCACTGCTTTTTTCTTCCGATCATACTCTCGACTAGTTTTTTTTATTATTTTTAAACCGCTGTTTTGAATATTTAGTTTTTTCTCACAGTCAAATTTGAAAACCGAAATCGTATTTTAGGTCAAATTTCTTTGAACTAGGTCAATCGATTTTGATTACATCTTCTTAATAGTGGTTTTTCATTGTATTAGATATTTGTTTTTGTTTATATTTGTTAACACTTAATGGGATTTTTTCAAATGATTCTGATCAATAGTTGAAACTTGGTAAATTACTGGTTATTAGGTCAAAACCGTGAAGGACATTTGGGGTTTACGACTGTGTAAGTATGCAATGCATGTTTTTTTCTTTCTTTTCTTCGTAATTTTGTGAGTTTAGTATAGTTTAGAGTCATAGAAATAGTGGATCGATGGGGTTTAATGATAAACACAACAATGCTGGTGGAAGCGACCCGGATTTCGGTGCGATCTTTATGTCCAACAGTGGAACGAAACGAGAGTGTTTAAGGAGTGGAGTATTTGGGCTTCCGGCTTCTTATATTCCGTTTGTTGAGAAGATTAAATCTGGGACGACTTTGTTTTTATTTGAATATGAGAAGAAATTACTTCATGGTGTTTTTATGGCTACTTGTGATGGTGGAATCAATATTGTTCCTAACGCATTTGCTTCGACAGGGATGAAATATCCTGCTCAGGTGAGCACTCAGATACTTTGTTTTATGAATTTTAGTGAGTGTGTAATATTCATTTGTTTACGAGTGCAAGAAGCAATTTTTACCATTGTCTTACTTTTCCGTTAATGTTTTGGTTTAGGTTAAATTTGTTCCGGTTTGGAAATGTAAGCCACTCCCTGAAAAGATATTCTGCCATGCAATCATAGAGAATTACTTTGCCAATAACAAGTTTAGCTTTGGGCTTTCTGAAAATCAGGTCCGCGCTTCTACTTGATTGGTTTTTGATGTCTTTTTTTATGAAGTTTATACAAACCAGTCTTTTTTGGAGCTGTTTTTCAGGTCGAAAAGCTATTACATTTGTTCAACATGAACAAGCTAGAACCTGAGGTTCCTAGGAGACATATGTCGAAAGCAGAAGATATGAGATCAGAACGGCACTCAGTGGGTAAAGTTGGAAAATCTGTTTCTCGTGGAATGCTTGACGAAAGTGTTCAAGATGATCATGTTTTGGGAGATGATAATTTACCCTTCTTGAGGCATAACTACCCAGGAGATTCTGCACGCTTCAATGAATTCAGCGCAGATGATATTTTAGTAAACAAACGAAGAAGAAGGTCTTCAGAGCTTGGAGTGGATTATACAAGTGGAGATGCTCGTGAATATTTGCAATCAAAAGATGAAAGCAGACTTGCTGCACGCAACAATGAAGATTATATAGATAACTATAACTGTGCTGCCAAGCTCCAGCCAGATACTGCAAGCGGATATGTTGGTGATTATTCGGCAATAAGAGATTACAGCAGGTTTTCTTCCCACGAGAACAAAGATTATACTGATACACATCTCAGGCCATACACCATAAATGGATACTCCAAAGTTCCTTCTGACAAAATTAGAGTTTATGGTGATGGCAGGTCATCGGTTAGTGACCAGCTGATGGGTGAAGACCTAAGGAAGACTGATGAGAGGATGATATTTTCTGACGATATTCCTAGTTTACGTGGTTCCAATGTCGATTTGCCTATCTACAGCAAGCCTAATTTAGAGCCAAATTCTTTGGTTGAAAATCATCTCTGGTCAACTTCTGCTATGATTCACCCATTCCATCTAAACACTTCTTATGTACCACAAGGAATCGAGAGTTCTATCCCGTACAAGTCAGAAGCTCCCAGCTTCTCGTCTTTTGGAATTGAAAATAGTTCTGAGTCAATGAGACCACCAGGAGACGAGAATTCTATTCTGTACAATTCAGAAGCCCCTGCCTTAAACTTCAGACAATTATTGTCGTTTGGAATTAATAATGATTCTGAACCAATGAGAGAAAGATTTTCTCCTTCAACCAACTGCAGAAGGAATTTAGTGAGTAGGGAACATCAACTCATGCATACGGAACTGAAAGACAGTCACAGATGGAACAGTATTGATGATTGTTTTTCAAATTCTATATCGTATGGTAGTAACAGGGATTGCACGCCTTTCAATGAAGCTCGGAATTCTGACCTATTGGCATCAGAATCTGCTTTATATGAGGCTCGCAATACCATTCCTTCCTTTAAATATTCACCAGCTCCCGTCCCTTCTTCAGATATTGGAAACAGTGGAAGGACACATGAACCGTATTCTTCATTGTTCCATGACCACAATTCATATTTAGACAATAATGTTCATCCCATGGCATTGCAAAACCATCTGAGTCATGAGATAACACTACTAAAAAACAATGAAACACCAAATCCATATGTTGATTCATTGCCATTGGATCATGGATATGATATTGGATGTTATAGTGATTCTCTAAATAGCAATTGCGGTCATCCAAAGAGAAAAAGTAGTGTGTTTTCTCGTTTATCTGTTCACCAGGATGTTAACAAACAAGGAAAGGGAAACTATGCACAGATTGAAGATTATGATTTCATTACTTCAGTGGATGAAGTGATGAAAATGGTTCGTCAGACAAAAAGAAAGCCAAAGCCCAGTCAACACAACAATGCAGAAAGTTTAAGGGGTAAAACTCAAATCAGTAGTCAGAGGAAGAAGAGTGATTGCGTTGAAAGTGCATTGGAACACAACAAGGATGAAAGTTTAAGGAATAAAACTCAAATGAGCAGTCCGAGGAAGATGAGAGACTGCTTCGAAGATGTCTTGGAACACAATGAGGATGAAAGTTTGAGGAATAAAACTCAAATCAGTACTCTGAAGAAAAAAAAGAAGGGGGATTGCTTTGAAAATACCTTGGAAAATCTAAATATGGATTCTACAACTCTGACTGGAGGCAGTCCTAAAACAAAAGCTGATAAGGCACATTTTGTTGATTTCAAGCGTCGAAGCATGGTGAGGAAACATAATGACGAGACTGAGAGAAGCTCCAATGAGAGTAAAAAGAGTGAGAACTTGGTGCTTGTGCAACAAAAGAAAAGAAAGTTAATCCGACCAAATTTCAACAAGAGTGTATCTTTTGAAGACAAAGACCTTGGCGCTCCTCGAAATTTACAACTACCATTGCCAAATGGAATCCGTAATCATAAAGATGTCGTTGAAAGCTGTAGTATACTGGTGAGCCAATGTGGTTATGATGTTAAAGCAGAGGCTGAAGTGCAAAATGTCATTGATCCTACACATTCTGAAGGCAAGAATAGTAGTCATGCTACAGAATTTATCTGTAGCAAAGAGGGAGAAAAATCAAATTTTCAAAATGTTGTCTCCTCAGCTTCTTGCAATGAGGAAAGTTATCGTACCAAGGAAAATCCAGGTATGATGGATAATGTGAAGTCAGCATCCATGGAGATGGAATGCTTGCATGCAATTTGTCAAGAAAAAGCAAACGTGGGCACCCTTTTTTCATTAAATGATAGATCAGAATGTGTGGATAACAAAAATCACCAAAAGGTTTTGTCCTCAGCTTCTTTCAAAGAAGAGAGTTCTCATGCCAAGGAAGGTTCATGTCTGATGGATAATAAGAAACCATCATCTCTGGAGATGGAATCCTTGCATGCAATTTGTCAAGAAAAAGCAAACACTGGCACCCTTCTGGTATTAAATGGTATATCTGAATGTGCCGATAACAAAAATCACCAAAAGGATTTTTCCTCAGCTTCTTGCAAAGGAGAGAGTTCCCACACCAAGGAAGGTTCATGCATGATGGATATCCTAAAGTCAGCATCTCTGGAGACACTGTATGCAACTTGTCCAGAAAAACAAATCACCTGGCTCCCTTCTTCCATTAAATGATGGATCAGAATTTGTGGATAACAAAAATCACCTAAAGGTTTTGTCCTCAGCTTCCTGCAAAGAAGAGAGCTATCATATCAATGGGGGTTTATTTATGAGGGATAGTACAAAATCAGCATCCTTGGAGACGGAATCATTGAATGCAATCTGTCAAGAAAATAATGCAGACAAGTTCATACGTGCTGACAGAGGTATTGGTGCTGATGGAGAAATGCCAAAAGATTGTGGCTTCATCTCCATTGAAGCTAAAGATGGATCTGAATATTTAGGGAACTCTGGTAGTGAAAAATCTTCAATTGAAACTTGTCACGTCGAGGCTTGCATATAGAATCAGTATCTTTAGGCACATGATCACTGCATTCAACTTGTTAAGAGCACCACTTAGATAAGATCATATGTGCTGACAGAGTATTGTAATACTGAAAAATGAATTTCAAAAGATTGCAACAACTCCTTTTCTCCGAAGTTAAAGACACACCTGTCAACTTTTCAATATTCCGGGTCTGTCTACTTTTCAATATACAGGGTCTGTCTACTTTTCAATACCCCGGCAGTGACAATGCTCCGATTGCTACTTGTGAACAAAAGATGGCCAATATCAAATCTCTCCATGGACTGGTAAAGGTTCAGAATCTTAGTGACAGATCTCACTGTTGGTTTGGAGAGGTAGTAGTCTTTTTTTTCTTTTTGCAGATTTAGAGGTTGTAGTAGAACGCATCATAATTTGTCTAATTGTCTAAAGTGAGTACACTGGTACTAGTTAATAGTTGATGTTATATGCATTTATTTGTCATCCAAATCAGAGGTAGCTGAAGCATTCACCCTTGATTTTTCTCTCTTTATTTTATTACTCAAGTGTGTTTGGAGACGTCACTTTTCCCAGTGTTGCTTTTCATCTGTTCTAAAGCTACAACTGTATTACCTATGAGTCGAGACGAATACTCTGTCCCGCCAATGTGGAAAGAACAATGTTTGGTTTTTTTAGTTGGAATAATTTATGGTTATATTTGGATAATTTTTCGATTGATTTTAGTTATAAATTTTTATTTGAACAATTTTTTGACAATTTATTGGTATAATTATATTTGGTTACCCATAATCTTTAATGAAATTATTAATATTCTTGTGAATTGGATTGTAATTATCCCCAAAACATTATAGTAGAACATACCATCAGTATTTTGCTAGGAAATATTTAAAATAGAGCTATCTTTATTATCATCCAATAATTATTTTTCTCTTTCTATTTTATTCTTTATCATTATGATATAAATGTAACGACCAATATAATTGTCAAAGTGATAATGGTACAAACAATTATTTCCACGAAATGGAAGAACTTAGACGTGGCTTGTGCTCTTTTTTCTCTTGCCTAGTATTACTTTTTTTAAAGTTAGATAGTATAAAATCATTGTTCGTTGGAATACGCACGTTAATAACAAGTAACAACAACCAGCATTTCCCTTAAAAGTGTTTTAACTTCCTGACTGT